CCAAACAGAACACAGAAGTCTTAATACTAACTCCGGATCAATTTCATTTTTCTCTTAAAAAATTGCAAATAACTCTTTTTCCATTGATCTGAGCCGAAAGAGGAAGGTATAGAACTCGTTCCCCCAGTCACTCTGAGCTGCAAAAAGCATTTTTCCATTGATCTGAGCCAAAGCAGGAAGGTATAGAACTCGTTTCCCCAGTCACTCTGATATGCAAAAAGCATTAAAATTTTCCAGTTTCCCTCTTCTTCACATCACTATTCCTTCATTTTCCTAAGAAACAAACAGGAAACACAAAAGTCAAAATAAATGACTCAAAATTCCATATCCTTACCGCTCTCGTCTCGTAGAGCTTAAATTTCTCGAGCGAGTAGGAATTGGGATCAACGTCGGCCGGTTTTGCCATTGAATTTCGGTAGGAATTGGGAAAGAAAATCGGGTGAGACAGACGTTGTTACAACTACTACACTGTTCGTGGAATTCCATCGCTTTATATAGGCTTCGCTCTCGAAACGCTCGAACTCGCCGAGTTGGTTGTCGACTCGTCCGAGTTGAGAGGGGAATGACTTTTATAGGGAGATTTGGTACAATGTTACCCATAAAAAAAGGCACTTTGTTCTATACACCATTGAAGATGGCGGCTTCTTTTCCATCAGACCCAAGTTGGAATTATGATGTATTCTTGAGCTTCAGAGGTGAAGACGTTCGCAAAAATTTTCTGGGTCATCTCGATTCTGCTTTAAAAAAGGGAGGATTCAGGACTTATAAAGATGACAACGGTCTCACAAGGGGTAGCGACATTGCACCCAGCTTGGTTGAAGCGATCGAGCACTCTAGGATTGCAGTTGTCGTGTTCTCCACAAACTATGCTGCTTCTGGATGGTGCCTGGACGAGCTCGTCAAGATCCTTGATTGCAGGGACAAGTTGGGGCAGATGGTTCTACCCGTTTTCTTCCATGTGGATCCATCAGACGTACGCAACCAGAGGGGGAGCTTTGGCGAAGCTTTTGGGCGTCACCAGAAGGTTACCGTAGACAAAGTAGAGAGGTGGAAGACTGCCCTTACCAGTGCTGCGAATCTTGCCGGCTTTGATCTTCAAAGTGTCAATGGGTAATACAATCATCTCTTCCTTGCTTGGATGAAAATTTGTATAAATTTCTTTCTTGTTAGCAAGTGGACTTGGTTGGATATCTATGTTGTGTTTTCCCAACATCAATTTTTAATCCTTTTAACAACGACCAGAGATGAGACTGAATTGATCAAGAAAATTATTGAAGATGTTTGGGAAAAAGTGCATCACACATACCCTAGCGATGTGGATGGCCTCTTTGGAATTGGCTTTCCAGTAGAGAGAATAATATCACTCTTGAGACTTGGCTCCAGAGATGTTCGGTTCATAGGAATTTATGGAATGCCTGGAATAGGGAAAACAACAGTTGCCAAGGAAATTCGGAATAGAATCTCTAAGGAATTTGATGGTAACAGCTTGCTAATGCTTGAAGATGTCCAGCTAGGATCGAGACATGGTGGACTGGTTGAGTTGCAAAAGAGACTTCTATATGATATCTTAGGAGTCCTTGACTTGCACCTACGAGATGTTGATGATGGAATTGAAAAGATTAGAGGTCGATTGAAGCACAAAAAGGTTCTGATCATTCTAGATAATGTTGACCATTTGGACCAACTTGCAGCTCTTGCTAAAGAGAGAAGTTGGTTTGGCATTGGCAGTAGAATCTTAGTAACATGTAGAGATGAACATTTGCTAAATGCTCATGGTTATAGAGTGGATGCCAAGTATGAGGTCCCATGTTTACACTTTTATTATGCTGAGAAACTCTTTTCTTGGCATGCCTTTAGAGAACTTTCTCCACCGGATGATTATGCCAACATTTCTCATGAGATAGTGAGATATGCTGGAGGACATCCATTATCTCTTAAAGTTCTGGGTTCTTTCCTATCCGATAAAACTCTTCTTGAGTGGACTAGTGCATTGAAGGAACTCAAAAGTATCCCCTATGGGGAGATTTTTGAAAGACTTAAAATATGTTTTGATTCATTGGATGACCATCAGAAGGCCATTTTTCTTGACATTGCATTCTTCTTTATAGGGATGGATGAAGACAATGCAATTCAAATACTAGATGGTTGTGGCTTCTATACGAAAATCCATCTACGTAGTCTTATCCAAAAGTGCCTCTTAACAATAAGGGAAAAGAAGCTGAGAATGCATGATCTGCTTCAAGAGATGGCAAGAGAAATTGTTCGTAGAGAAAATCCTGGTGAACCTGGTGAGCGCAGTAGACTGTCCTTTTATAAAGACGTTCGGAAGGTTCTGAAATACCATGAGGTAAGCATCAATTGCCTTTGTTTAGGATCCAGTCTCCAATAAATTATTTGAGGAGTACATTGCTTGTTATGTAACATTGTTAATGCTCATTGTTATCAGGGTACAGACAAAGTCATAGGCCTTAAGGGGTTCTTCCCTACATTAAGGGAGAAGTTATTTAGTACTGGAGCACTTGCAGGGATGAAGAAAGTAAGAATACTCCAACTTAGAAATGCTGACATTGTTGGAGGCTGTGAACATTTTTCTAAAGAACTAAGATGGTTGTGTTGGGAAAGATGTCCTTGGTTATCTATACCACCTAGTTTAAATCTCAGAAAATTGGTTGTACTGAGGTTGTGCTACAGCAAACTCCAATATATTTGGGAGCAATCAAAGGTATGGCTGTATATATATGTTTCTTGTTTCAAGTAGGATTATTCTTAACTAGAGTTACAATTTTTTTATTAACTTTAAATGGCTCTTATCCTTCTTGCAGGTTCTTAAAAATCTAAAAGTCCTTGATCTCAGTTATTCACATGACTTAATCAGAACGTCTGACATCTCAGGTCTTTTAAACATTGAGAAATTAATCTTCAGAGGCTGCATTAATTTGATTGAGGTGCATCAGTCCATTGGCAATCTTAGCAAAGTCATTTACTTGGACTTGGAAAACTGCCAGAACCTTGTTCATCTTCCCTCAGAGATTTGCAAATTAAGGTTCCTTGAGAATCTTGACTTGTATAGCTGCTCAAAGCTAAGGGAGTTGCCAGAGGATTTTGGAAACATGGAAAGTTTGAAAGAGCTCAATATAGGCTGTACTGCCATCAAGAACCTTCCGGTGTCAATCCACCATCTTAAGAATCTTACAAATTTCTTTTGGAACAACGAGAGATCTTTGCTTGAAAGTGCGGGTATCTATGATTTGTCTCCACTATGGAGTCTGGCTTCTGTAAGAGAATTGAATCTGTTGTTCTGCAAACTATCAGATAATTCATTTCCCAGAGATCTCAGTGGCTTACAAAATTTGGAGATGTTGCTTCTAAGAGGAAACACTTTTCATCGCTTACCAATTTTTCTATCAAATTTGCCAAAGTTAAAAAAGCTTGATGTTTCTAAATGTGATCTATCGGGCACATCAGGTCCCTTGGTTGTTGCAAGCCCCTTTTTGCAGGAATTGAATTTAAGCAAAAACAACTTCTGCAGTGTACCAGTTGATCTTACTTCCCTTCCTGTTGAAACCAAGGTTTTCCTAGTGCTGTGCAAGAAGCTCAAAGTAATAGAATCTGCATCACACACGAAATTGATCACATACCATTGCAAATCTTTGGAGAAAGTAACATTCAAGGGAGGGTTCAATCACAGAAGTCTCAGATCTATCTTTCCTGGGTTTAATGGAACTGAATCACATACAGTTCTGTACTGGGCCTCTCTGAAACCTTTAACTAGCGAGCAACTTGCTAAGTTAGAGCACTTGCTTGGACTGAATGCTTTGCGAAAGAAGTGGTTGCATTTTTTCAAAGACTTCATACTTACTCGGAGTAAGGATCGTCCCATTCAGGTTACTCTCTTGCTCTCTTTGTCCTTTTCAAGTTTTCCCAAGTTAAGAAGACACAATTCTCATTTTTTATGCGGCAAGGTTTTTTTTTTCTTCTTAATGAATTGTCAGTGTTGCAGGGTTTTTCTGATTATATGGAGCCGATTTATAGCATCTTTCTTCCCGAAGGAACGATGCCCTATGGGTTTAATCATGAGGATAATGTTGCATGTACAATTGTAGATGTGCCTCAAGTTTCAAGTGGAAGTTTCCAAGGGCTTGCAGTATGTGTTTTTTATCATATTAGAAAGATTTTTTTACCATCTTTTGCTATAACAATAGAGGATAAGAATTTTTCTCGTCACTACCGCGTTCCCTGGCTCCATTGGTACCATAGTGAAGATGAAGTCACGTGGGTCAGTTGCTGGAGAACACCAAGTTTGGTGAATGAATGCAAGAGATTCAGTATTAAAGTAGAAACTCACGGATCCCATTTGCCGATTGTGAAAAGGATCGGTTTCCGCCTCTTATCTGAAAAGGAGCTAGACCTAGTCACAGATGTCTGGTAAATCCTTAACCTCTATAGTTTACACATCGTTGTTGAAGTTTTGAAGTCTTAACCAAATATTTCAATTGCAGGGGAAAATCCAACTGGATTAGTGATATGGAGCCAAGTGCTGATCCTGTGTTTTTGGACAGGTATTTATTTGAAAATTTTTCTCAGAGTTTCAATTAAAATTAATTTGCAATAAATTCAATTTTCAAAAACAAAATGAGAAATTGATTGGATGAAAGAAATAAAATGAAATAATTTGAAATTGGTTGCAAAGAACTAAGAGTTTGAAATTGTGAACTGCAGAATCGGACTGAGAAACTCGAAGGAAAGATGGGGATGGGAGGAGTCAACATTACGACGTCGTTCAATTTGACTGAGTTAGAGAGCTAGAAGGCCGAGTCATCGCCACCCTCTCTTCTAATTTCCTTAAATTCTTCCTGCCTTATCCCAACCTACTTCTGTTTGAATAGATCACAGCATCAAATAAAGAGATTTCAAATCATTTAAGCTGGCGTTTGTTTTGTTAATTATACAAGGCTTATGATTTGAAGGACAACATTATGAAACGTTTAAAAGTGGGAAAGGGGTATGATCGAAAATAATCAAAGCATTCGTTTTTATGTTTTTAATTCTTTTGGTGGGCTCCTAACTTACTATTTTTGTTAATTAAGATTTTTTTTTTAAATTATTGATTAAAGTGAATCTATTTGTTTATGTTGATTAATCAATTAATTACCTTAAAATTAAAGAATGTGCTAATTGTAAAAGTACAGAAGCTATGAAATGCTTAACACCTTTTTCATTGATTTTCTAATTGTAATTAAATTTCTATGTTAGACTTTGGTGATCTGGCCACCTCATGGAATAAATTGCGACATGATAAAAAGTTTAACACCTAAACAAAGCGGAGAAAGATGGAGCTAATTGTTCAGGGCTTCCAGAATGTAACATGTGTTGTTTATGAACCCCAATGAGTAACAATGTAAAACAGTGTCATTAAAGAAAATATTAGCCAAGCATTAGCAAAACGGTGAAGGTAAGTGAAAGGAATTTGCAACAGGAAAAGAAACATCCCGCCGTCCCCCCCTCCCCCCAAAAAAAAGGTTAAACCCCATTTTGGTCCTAAATTATTATATGGACCCCCAATTTGGTTCCTAAACTTAAAAATCTCTGATTTGATCTATATTGTTTACTATTTTAATCCCAATTTGGTCATTCCATTAAAAATCTTATGATGTGACATGACATGTTACTTCACAGCTACAAGATGATGTGTCAAATATTAATACATATGAAAGACAATGTAACAAAAAAGTGATGATATGGAAAAAATGATAATATAAAAATATCTTAATATAAAAAATAAAACCTAAAAAATGCTTCTTTTTTTTTTCTTTTTCTTTTTCTTTCTCTCTCCCTTTCTTTTCCTCTTCCTCTTCTCTTTCCCCTTGGAACCTAGATGTTGGGTTCCTTGGGACCTAGGCCTAGGTTCCATTGAACCCAAGGGCAAAAAAAAAAAAAAAAAAA